ATGTGTGTGTGTGTGTGTGTGTGTATTTGTATGTGTATATAGAGTAAAGTGTATAAATAATATTACATTTTAAGCATGCTGAAATCTGGCTTCAAATATTGCTTTTTCTTTTTAAAATGAAGTGTATACAGTGTAGTTTTTAATATTTTTGAAAGAAGTCTCTTATGTTTACTAAGGCTGCATTTATTTGATCATAAATCGAGGAAAACCATTTAGTTTTTAAGTGATTGTGGATCCTGCTTTTTTATTTAAAGTTATTATGATTTTTTTCTGATCTACTTACCCTAATTATTGAGTGAGCGCAGTTATTTCACTTTTTTATATCTTTATATACAAATGACATTTAATCATGTAAACACATTTAAAAGTTATTTAACACTGTAAACATGTTTGCCTAACTGTTTTTAAAAACAATTAGGTAAATGTGTTTGTTGCATTAAATGAATTGAATTCATACAGTATATACAGTGGGGCCAAATAGCCACTATCAAAATCTTTCACTTTGCATTTTTTTCATAACAAATTATATTATCAACATAACAATTGAAAGCTTAAGCGAGACATGTACATGAATTTCAGAATCGTCTTTTCACTCTTTTGCTTTAATAACAGCAGCATTTGAGCTGCATGAGCTCCACAAGTTTATGATCCTGCTCACAGCCTGATGATCATGTTCTCCAGTATGAACATCTGAGGAGTAGCTCACATGCTCAATTTCATACTAGATTATATTTCTTGTTAATTCTATGTTAATAAATAAAAACCCTACCACTACTCCTACAACAAAGTTCTCCGATTTTTTATGTGGAGTCTGATGTTTGGACCCTACGGTATGTGTACAAACAAGTGGAGTACCAGCAATTCTTTTTTATGCAAGCATTAATTATGCTTAAGTTTTTGTTGTTGTTGTTGTTGTTGTTGAAAGACACTTTACAAGCACTTTTTTACATCAAAGTCTTAAACTCTTGCATCATTACATACTGGCCTAGTGAGTTTAATCTTCTACCTATAACCCTGTTTACAGCAAAACAACAGCTTTTGTATTACTCAGTGTCATCTTATTCCTGTTAATGAACAGATATGTTGATAATTATAATTGTGTTCAGAATGCAGTCAGTTTGCAACACTTCTCCTGCCAGTTCAGAAGTGGCCATGGCAGACGTTTGCAGCAGATGAGCTTAGATCCTGTGTCTGGCAGCGATTTATTGCTATATAACCATAAGCCTGATAAGAAAGACTGTTTTGCAAGAATGGAGACCTGCTGTATGTAGCCAAAGCTGTCTAGTAACTCTGCATTGCACGTTTTCAGTGCTACTTTTCACACTTAACTCCGTCCTCCCCTTTCCATGTGACTTTGAGTGAGGTTAGTTAGAGACTTGAATAGCCTGAGATTGAACGAGGCGGCCCATCACTTTTCTGTTTGTGTAGCCATCACTCTCGTCCAGAGTGGTTTCTTCTTTGTAAGTTTACTGAGTGTGAGGCCTTTAAACTGCTGGCTTTGCTTCCAAAGCTCAAATTGCAGGCATCCTCCACATTGTCTTTTTTAACAACATAAATTACTGCCAAAATG